TCAATAGCTTCAATTTGATATATAGCACGACGTTTGGGGTCAAGTATTTCTGCTCATAACTCAGAAAAACTATTTTGGCTTCATCAAATCATAGGCCTTCATCATAGCAGTTAGCCTTCCAGTTATTTATAGTTCAATGGGCAAATGTGCATTCCTCGATTTAGCCGCTAGTGATTTTCCGCGAGTCGGCCATCTTTATATACTTAATCTTTGCCAAGACGCTTAGCCACGCGTCTCGCGTGAAGACCGCGCGAGACGAACGCGGAAGTACACGCGCAGCTGAGTTTGAAAAATGGCGAACTTGAGAAACAAAGAAAAAGAAGAAATAGTTCGCGAAGTTTTGGGCATACAGCCGATACTTATTGGGTCGTTTTTCACGCTGCTAATTCTCAGCTGTTTGCTGTTTAGGTAAGCTTAGAATAGTGTGTAATAGCGGTGAAATAATCCGTATTTGTTGGTATTTTGAGCTTTTGAAGTTTTGAGTTAAGTGTTGTCTGCCACGGAACAGTGGAACACTTTGTTTGTGATAATGAATGCCATGATTTGAAAGGACCAAAAGAAAAGCATTGGTTCAAATGAAGTAGGGACTCAATTTTGAGAAGATATGACAGATCTGAGATGTACAATTGTTATTTCAATCGTACTGTCCGATTTATTAAGTGATTCTCAAGTATGATTAATTGATGCAAAATATTGCATAATGCTTATTTTTAGCAAAATATTCGATAATTCTACGATGGATTGGATACCAGAATTTTACCCAAAATTTCGAAAGTTTTTGGACATTTTGCATTGTTTGGACAGTCAGGTTGTGATTAACCCATTAAGCTGCAGAGCTTCCCCATTGACGAGTAAAATCGTCTGGCGGTAGACAAGTAAAGAAATAAGTAGGGCGCACTGGGGCACATTGCAGCTCAATGGGTTAACTAGAGCTCTTAACCCATTAAGCTGCAGAGCTTCCCCATTGACAAGTAAAATTGTCTGGCATTAGACAAGGAAAAAGAATAAGTAGGGCACACTGGGGTGCATTGTGGCTCAATGGGTTAATAAAACTTTCAGAATTTGGTTTTTCGTTTTATACATTTTACAAAAATTTCCTCTGCTGCAGCAAATTCTAGTGAAATATAAAATTATAGATCTATATTAGATCAAATTATAAATAAAATTATAGATCTTATTCTAGATCTAAATATTTGAAGCATTGTAACTCATGACTTTTACTATCCAAATAATGTGAAATTTTGGGTGCACACTAATCTCAGCATCAAAATTTAAATTCTGGGTCCATTTACCGAAATTCCGACAACTGATATTCAAGGGCGGACACTGGTCGATACCGACATTACCATTTGCATTCAAGCATTACCCCACCAGGGTTCTGCCCAGGACAATGAGACTGCCAGGTATTTGTATACATGAAATATTTGTAAATTTCTAATTATTACAGTGGTACAGTAGATGCCATAAAATTTATCGCAGATGCGATAATGTACTCAGAAACATAAATTTTATTTAGAAATTTCAAAATGGCAACGATAATTTTCATGTTTACAAATATTTCTGGCGTGTTTTTGTGCTGGGCGGAAGAGTCAGTTTTGGTTTGGTGCTGGGCGGTACTATTAAGTGCTGGGTACTGCCGCCCGCCGCCGCCCACCATGGGCAGAGCCCCGCCCCACGCCACAATGAAAATAATCCACACTGTGAAAAATGTGTCCAGGGGGTCAAAGCAATCGTGCAATAAGTTTGTGAATTGGGATAAAATGTATTTAACAGTTGCTAATTAAGAATTTACATTTTTAGGCATTTTAGTCTACTAACATGCCTATGGGCAATTCTGACAGGAGGTGGACTGGCATATGGAATTTTATGGTAAACATTCTTTCTTGTTATTTGATGGGTTGGTTTTTAGCCCCTTATGTATTGCCCAATGGGGTATTCCAGAAAAGATTGAGACTTCCCCTACATTATTGACACGGTATACTGTATGATTAGTGTTGTTTTTTACTCTCAATTTTAGCAATGTGCCACTTTTCCCCAGCCTTCTGTTTTGGTACAAACCTCGTGAAAAGGTATTGTTATAGCAATAATAGCAACTAAAACATTTATTTTTCCCTAAAGTTTATAAATACAGTGGATACATATTGCAAATATAAATATAAATATTTAAGGATGCTGGCCACTAGAAATACGGTAATCTTTGTGATTAAAATTACCTAGTAAACTCCTGTAGATACAATTTTAGACAGATTTAGATTGAGGATGTGAATGTCAAAGACAACTTGAAAATGGCGTGTTGTGCCCATGTACGGATATGCCACACCATTTTTACGTCATCTTTGACGTCTGCGTCCTCAATTTAAATCTGTTTAATATTATTATTTTGAGTGAACATAAACAATGTCACAAATTGAGAACAGAAACATAATAAAGACTTAATAAACCACACATACTGTATGTTCTAAACTTGTTAAATTAAATTAATCAATATAGATTTAGGAGACTTTACTTTGCTTACATTGCGCAGATCTTAATTTTTTCATCAACTGAGTTCCAAATTTCAGGGCAATGAAACCTTATGTTAAATTTGCCAAAGTTTGTCCTTACTGTTAGTTTGTCTGCTGTTATTTTTGAGGTAGCGTATCTAGGCTGGTGCGATATATCATTATTTTCGACAAACATCACTATTTCAAATATATTCATTTGATATTCAATTTTTTGCATATTGTAAATATAGAAAGTTTTAATGACTGGGAGACAACTTACAGTAATCTCCTTTAAAAGTGTCAACAGAGTAAGTGTGATCAGAGAAGATCACCACCCACACAAGTGACAGTTTAGAGCTTGAAAACAATAACTGTGTGATGTGGCACACAAAGTAATAGTTAAATATTGTCAATTTAACCCATTAAGCTGCAGAGCTTCCCCATGCACTGATGAGTAAAATCGCCTGGCATTAGACAAGTAAAAAATAATTAGGGCGCACTGGTGTGCATTGTGGCTCATTGTGGTTCAGATATAATTTTCTTTGAAAGTATATTCATTAGCTTTGAGCGTGTGTTATATAACATACAAAAGTTCTCCTCTTAAAGTGACAAAGAATAAATAAAATAATTATTATGGAATGATTATAAATGATTATAATAATATGTACTATTTTCCTATATGGAAATAAAAAGTTCTTTATTTAAATAAAAAAAATCTTTTTGAATTTGAAATTCAAAATTCAAATTCAAAAATAATTTTGATTTAAATTGAAATAATAAAAAAAAACCCACTTGAAGCATCAGTAATGTATAACAGCTTAGCTTTTTAAACATTTTTGGAAACCTACAAGTAGATCTACCAGAAAGTATAACAGTACCTGACTCTTCCACAGTCCCTAGCTTGCTATATTTGCGTTAGTAAGGGAGAATATGCTCGTTCTCGGGTTAGGCGTTGACCCATTTCCATCATCCAACACGAGCGAATGGGAATGAGTCCGGTACAGTGCTTTTATTATGGTTTTTCAATTTTTTATAGGCTGATGACTCGAGTCAAAATGCAGCTTTGAATATTTGTTCTGTATGTCAGAAATTAAAATGTCAAAGGCACAGGTATGAATAACAGGAATGCAGTTTGGCTGAGGGGTGGGGGGGGCGGGGGGTCTAGACAAAGTATTGCTGTAATTAGGCCAGTATTAATCTAGGGTTTCTGAATTACCATTCTCTAGTTAAGTTGGCAATACCTTTTAATTGACAAAGTGCGACTAATCCCAAATATGATTTTTGTATGTGTAATATTTTATAGGTAATTTGAAGAAGAAATATAATATATCTTTTTAGTATTTTTGCACAAGTGAACAAAACAAATCCTACACAGTGATTGGTCAAATTTGACAAATTAATCTGTTATATTCACCTGCACGTGAATATAACAAAATCGAAATTTTCAAAATGGCGGCTAGCCGTTTTGTTGAAGTTAGTGATAAAGAAATAAGCAAAATTAAAATGAATTCACACCAGAAAAAAAAAACACAAAAAAACTTGTGCAAAAATACTAAAACAATTATTGGCCTCAGGCTCGGTGATTATCGGGGAATATTCACCTCGACTTTGTCTCGGCGAATATTCCCCCATAATCACATCTCGCCTTCGCTGCATAATTGTTAAATAGACCTCATCTTCATCAACTTTTTCACTGAACATTGTCATGAGATAAATTAAAAATTAGTTTTTCTTTGTAAAAATTAGTTTTTCAAATTAGTTTTTGTTGCTCCAAAAATTCATCTAATGACATATCTGGAAACCTTGATAGTGCAGATAGCCAGATACAGCCTCATACCCAGGCTCTTTAGTAATTAATAGCGTTCAGATCCCTGGGCGAGCTTTTAGGCGCACAGAGAATCTTGGGGAGATTGCGGCGTTCAATCCCCGCCCGCCTAGCTCACCCAGAGCTTTGAACGCTATTAATAACTAAAGAGCCTTGGTATGAGGCTGGTGCAGATACAGAAAATTGGATTTGGGGTTTGCTGCATTTTAATAGACTATAATCATTAACACTAAAATGGAAATCATGAGTAAAATATCTCATCTTAATCCTTGGTATGAAAAAAATATGGATTTTTTTAGAAATGCAGCAAGTTTACTTGTAGTTTTTAATACCTGCTTATTTTTAAACACTTTAGGCCAGAAACATCTGACATAGATTTAGAGGTAACTGATGACTAATACTGTATATAGAAAACTTTCACGCATGTTACGTGTATGTTACCATGAAGTACTGAGTAACAGGGCCGCAGAGAGGGGGGTAGGGGGACAAATTGCTCCGAGGTGCTGGGGGCCCCTGAAAATTTTTTGTTGGGCCCCAGTCTTTTTTGTGTGTTAAATATTTCCGCGCAAAGGACAAGATATCTGTTTTCTTGGGCTAAGTACCGAAATTTGGCATAAAAAAAATGAGATAAAGTCGCTGGAAAGCAATTGCAATGTACTTGTCCGGAAAATATTTTTACTCCGGAAAAAAATTTTTTACCCCTAAAATGGTACACTGACCGAAAAAAATTTGCCCCCCAAAAAATTTGCCCCGGGCCCCCGCCAACCTCTCGGCAGCCCTGCTGAGTAACAATCATGTACACACAGTTTTCATTTCACTGGAGTTTTTTTCCAAATCCTTACCATGGAAATAGTACATGGATCTTCGCTGGACATAGAATTTCCGGAAATCCAATTTTCATACTAATTGCAATTTCCATATAGGCTTGGGCGGTTTTGCTTAAAATCAAAACCGAAAAACCGTCTGATCCAAAACCGGAAAACCAGTTTTCCCTTTAATTTTTACTTCAACTGAATGAGAAGGAATTGTGGTATTTTTTTGACATAAGCAAACGAACAATACATGACAAAATGCAAAATTGTGCATTTAAAACTGTAACCTAAAACGACTTTAGTTTTAAAATAACAGGGTCAGGAATGCATTTGAAAATTTATACCTCTTTGGTTCTTACCGACTTTACGGAAAAAGAATAGAATTTTTATTTAGTGCCATGTAATTGAGTTTAATTAGTGTCATGCTTTGAGAATTAAGATCGAGTTTCGGGCGATGACAGTAAACAATTATGTAGTGACGGTTTTCCGGTTTTTGTAAAAGCTAAACCGAAATAACCCGGTTAAATTTGGAAATAAAACCGGTAAAAACCGGTAAACCGCCCACGCCTATTTCAATACTATGAAGAGATTTTATAACAAACATACTTGCAAGGAGGTGAGTCCGGGATTGGACGCATCGAGGGTGGCTGGAAGTTTTCCGATTCGCGAGGTAGGTTCGGGAAACTTCCAGCCACCCGAGGTGCGTCCATTCCCGGACTCAACGAAACTGCAAGTATGTTTGGTTTTTATCACATGCCATTTCGGTAAAAACTAAAGTACTAAAGAATTTACGCATTTTAGTATATAATTTCTTAAGTTCTTTGTACGTTTGCATGGCGATAAAACATATAATAGTTTTGTTTGTGGAAACACCACGTCAGGGGCGTAGGAACCGGGGGGGGGGGGCACGGGGGGCACGTGCTAAATCCACCTATTTCTAGTAAACTCTGCCCAGTTGTGTTATTCACATATATCAACCTCCTCGAGTGTAAATGTCTCGAAAATGAAACAGGGAAAAATGTAAAGAATGTTAATATGCTATCAAAAAGTTCTTTCCAATAAAGCTACAGGGTATCATTCAAGTTACATAGTTCTCGTCATTTTGTGTCCTAGGTCCTCCTACTCTTCGTCTCTTATTAACAGCTACTGCATGTATGTAGATTGGAGTTGCAAGTTCACATTGAGTTGGATATGTGACGTATTTATATTATATTCTGTAGCCTTGGAGAAATCTCAAGTTAAATAAAGCAATAGATGCTGCCATTGAACAGGTACTGTACATACACCCACTTTTAAACATATTAAGATTCTTGTGATGTTACTCTGAGTGTATATCTACACCGGGCAAGCTTTGAAAAATATGCCTGTCCACGGTGGGAATCGAACCTACGACCTTTGGAATACTAGCCCAATGCTCTGCCAACTGAGTTCGGTTCGAATATGTGATATTTCGGAACAGAATCGTTCCTTCGATATCAATGTACTGTAATCTAGTAATAATGATATTTTCTGTGTTGGTGCAATGTACTCAGGTGAATATGATGCTTGTGATGTTACTTGCATCATATTAACCTGAGTACATTGCACCAACACAGAAAATATCATTATTACTAGATTACATTGATATCGAAGGAACTAGATTCTGTTCCGAAATATCACATACTCGAACCGACCTGACCGCGTAGCTCAGTTGGCAGAGCATTGGGCTAGTATTCCAAAGGTCGTAGGTTCGATTCCCACCATGGCCAGGCATATTTTTCAAGCTTGCCCGGTGTGGCTATACACTCAGAGTAACATCACAAGTACATTGCATTACATCATCACTGAGTACATTGCACCAACACAGAAAATATCATATTAAGATTGTCCTTAGAAATCATTAGTCACTACATCAGACTGATGATGATTTTGCGATAAAATCGAATGATCAAAAACAAATCCACGTCTTTTTTAGAGGCTGATTACATGGGGAGTTTTCAGCCCGGGCTGAATTTCAACCCGGTTAACCGAGTTGAAATTTTACATGGCAAATTTCAGGCCGGGGATGAGTTAGAATTTCAGTTCAAATCCGGGGGTGAAAATCTCGGCATCAACTATTTCGCTGACGTCAGAATGACATTTCATCAAAACTTTTTTCTTCAAGATTGGCTTAGAAACAAATTTGGAGTAGGGTTAGATTAGGGTTAGATTAGGGTTAGGGTAAGGATTTTAGAGTTGGTGTTTGGAGTATAGGGTTAGTGTTAGTAAAACCGTTGCTTTGTTACGTTTTGTCACTCTTGAGGCCAGCGAAATAATCTCTTCCTGAAATCTCAGCCCGGGCTGAAACGATCAAGTCTCATATTGTAAATTTATCGATACTTTCTTTTCAGTTTTTAGATCTACTATTAGAAAATTATGTTTACCATTGGTACAGGTATTCAGATATGATTGTTGTTGAAAAAACATTTGCTTCCTCCACATGCAAATCGGTTGCAAACGGCAGAGTATTTTACAGAGCGAGAGAGTGGTATAGCAGGGGATTGCAAGGGATAATCGGTGCAGGTCAAAAATAAACTAGAAATACATGCATGCAAGCAATCCTAGCTCGCCTTTCTTAACAGATGAAGTATATGAATTCCACATTAAGTATTTCATGATTAAAACAATAGTGGTCCCCATGGTAGCGTGAAAATAATAATATTGGGAAATATTAATTTTTAACTAAAGAATAATTGGTTTTCAAAACCTAGAGTGTAGTTTTTGTGTTTCAATTGGCTTCAATTTAAGCTGGGGAAACTGAAAAACTCGTTTTGCCGAAAAATAGTTTGCTCGAAAATACGGTGAAATATATTTGCTTTATACAAGCTTTTACTTGAGTTAGATTTTGGTCAAGCCATATTTGCTGAATTCCATAAATATTGCCCGACCAAATTTTCAAAATGATATTGAACTCTGTGGCTTTGTATTTCCTACCAAATTTTTTTGCTCGTCAAAGTGTGAACAGTTTAGAAGTTGCCACAATGCGAGTGTTTTAAACTGCGAGTGTTTTAAATGGCTTATAAAACGACCCATCTTATGAGTTCATTGGCAAAGTAATTTAAAAAATAAACATTGTCTAAGCCGAGAAAATCAAAGCTAAAGTTTATGTAAATGAACATGACTTTTTATCACATGTAAAACCATCGACACAGTAGTAATTTCCTTTGTCTTTTTCTCGTGAATTTTTTAAGTTAGTTCCTATTTGCGCAATTCCACCGTTTACAAAAGAGTTTTCTGTGGAGGAAGCTCCAAAAACATTATATTTTTTGTATTTTAAAACTTTGTTGTCCAGATGTTCTGCCGTCTTTGTCGGCGTGGTTAATTCGTCGATTTGATTGCAGGGAAAAATTGAGCTCTGATGAAAGATTTGTGGATGAACTTCGAACTACGTTAAGATTTATGTTCGCAGTCATATATAGGAGATTAAAAAAGGTAGGTTTTGCGCAAACCTCTCATGAAATGCTTTTAAATTTGTTTGTTGCTTTTAAACATGAACTGTCTGTGCCAGTGTAAGTAGTGGCAATAATATGAACACGCTTTCCTTGGTAGGGATGGAACTACCTGAAAAATATAAGCAGAATTTCGACGTTTCGAGCGCCCCTTCGTCTGGAGTTTCTGCGAAGTCGCCTGGACTTTCTACGAAGGATCTTCGCTCGAAACGTCGAAATTCTGCTTATATTTTTCAGGTAGTTCCATCCCTACCAACGAAAGCTTGTTCATAATAATAATAAACAGGTTATCATAATCGGGACGAGGCGACATCAGTTTTATCGCTTTCAGGACGATATCATAAATGTTCCTTGTTCGCTGCCCTCGTGCACTCGTGACATATGATATCATCCCTCAAGCGATAAAACTGTTATCGCCCCGCCCCTCATATGATAATCTATATTTGTTCATTATATGCTCTAGCATTGTTGTAAAGGAAATTTACCGAGTTTAAGGCTTTAAATGGTCTACTAAAGTACCTTTTGAATTCAACGAGCTAATTTTTGAGGCCAGAATATTTAGCATGAGAAGAGATTTTGAAATATTTCCAAATCTCAGCAAATGATATGATACAATATAAGTCTTTGTTAATTGTTTGTTGTAATTCTGTACATTGTGCTAAATCTCGCTTTTTTATGATGTTTGTTTCAGATTGATGTACCAACTTTAATTATCAATAAACTAGTTAAGAATGCTTTACAGCATTTAGATTCTTATTTGAAAGTCAGGCGAAAATTAAGAACAAGTAAGTTTTAAAATGGAACCGCCGAACCGGTCATTATTTATAGCGGGGGTTGGCACCGAAGAGAAAAGGGTTGGGTAAAAAAATTTATTGTCATTTCCAAAGCATGCATGACTCACTAAAGTATTGAAGACTGAAAAGCAATGTCAAAAGCAATGGCTCTTGTATACATATTGTAGATCGGCAATCTTCCATTTTGGCGTGTTCTGTTTCAGATCCTGACAGTGATTTTAAAGACGCGACATCGTTAGTTTTAGAAGAATTAGGAGAAAATATGCACATAGCTTTACACAGTAGAGCTAGCGAACAGCAGTATCAGAGACAGCTTGTGGAATCATTGCTACCATTACTGCTGCCTTCATCTGCATTGGGTTCCAGGTACGTTTGTGGGCATATCTTTGAACAAAACAACATCCATGATTGCAGAATGACATGCTGTTGCAATGGACCATTTGCATTATAGACTAAATTTTGATCTTGCGAAATGTTGTAAAATGTGGATAATATAGCCTTGCGAAGTTTGCCGTTTTTCAGTCATTTTGTATTACGCACGGGAAGTTGACAGCCCAATCGGGTGTTGGGGCATCAATTTCCCGTTTGTAATACAAAATGACTGAAAATTGCAAATTTCGCAAGGCTATATTATCCGCATTTTACAACATTTCGTAACTAAACTTTGGAATATTACTAATTTTGTGATGCTCTTTCAAGCTGTGATGAAATTTTTGTGTAGACTTGTTTAGATTAAAATTTAGTCTATAATGCAAATGGTCCATTTTGTGTGCGATTTTCTGTAAAATTTGAGTAATTCCTCTGATGGATCATTGGATGTAAATCTCAACCTTGTTGTTATTATCAGAATTGTTGCAAGCTTGTTCCAACAAGTCCGATACAGTCATGATATAACAATATTGTTACAACCTTGTAACATTCTTATACATGCATGACTGTATATCAGACTTGTTAGAACAACCTTGTAACAAGTCTGATAATGCCATCAAGCGTGTTACAACTTGTTAATACTGTAGCTTGTTGCATGCAAACGTGTTACAACATCTAGGAACAAGCAGGGTTGTACAAGCACAACCTGTAACAATTAACTTGCGCGTTTTTACGTGTGGAGTGCGATTTTCAGCTTCTGATGCATGAACGAGAGACGAGATATGAATATTCTGAATCTTATAGACTCTCTCATCTCAACATTCATAACTAATCCACTCGTTCACATCCAGCACAAGAAGAAAATCGCGGCAAAAATTGCAAGTGTAAACGGGCCTTTAGGAATCGACACCAAACCAATCCACAATATATCATGGTATCCTTGTTATTAGAGTGTCAATGTTTTATATTCATTTAGAAGTACACGTGGACTGTTTCGAGAACTGTTGGTGTACGCTGTATTTACGACAGGAATAGATACTCTTGTTGAAGCGGTTTGTACATTTCATTACAAAATTTTTAAGAGGAGATTTTTTTGCATGGGCGTACCGGAAGGAAATATTTAGGGGGCGGCAAGATTGTCCGGAACCTACAAAAATTTGGGAAACATCACTAAATTTTCAACAAAATTTACAGAATTTGTCCCATTTATTTTTTTTTATTAACCAAAATTGCCCGACTGTTCAGCGAATATTGCCCGACTGCCCAAAAAAGTTTTTTGTATTTTACGTAACACGCGCTCAAAATTTTTTGTATGTATACAAATAGATGTTATGTAGCGCTCAAAACACGCGCTCAAAATTTTTTGAGCGCTTAACACGCGCTCAAAATTTTTTGTATGTTACGTAACACGCGCTCAAAACTCATGCGTATAATATTCCACTTGAGGTTATGACTAAATTGAAAGTTTTTATTTTTCGATACGTTTCTCAATCGGCAAACAAACTTAAAAAGTATGTTTAGTGCTTTATCTGTAAAATAATGCTAAAATGAACAGATTTTAGATGATACGCCAAAGAGAATATGATGCCTGAAGCTCAGTAAGTTTTGCTTATATGGCTGTAAATATGGCTTCAATTTTAAAGCATCATTGATAATATTGTATTTTAATTGACAATTTTTAACTATTTTTCATGTTTCTCAACCGGCAGATGCATTTAACTAAAACAAAGTAATTTTGAGAGGAACGCCAAAAAGATTTTAGGTTTTGAACGAAAAGTTTCATTGCAAATACGTGACATTGAAAAAAATTGCCTCGTAATATTTACAGTATGACACTTCCACAGCAGTTGCGACGGGAGAGTGCGTCCCAAGGGAAAATCTGGCCCCCCTCCCCCACCGATGTCATATACGAGGCTGGTACTTCCAGCGCAATCATCTTCAGACTACACGGATGAAAGATGGGGTTTTTTGTATTAAAATAGAATTTTCGAAGGAAAACCTATATACATTTTACACCATGCTCATATTTTTTTCCGTGTACGGTTTGCATGCATGCATAAATAAAGTTATGGTTCTGTGTCTGATGTATAGCATTCACTATTCCAGCATTGACGATGGCTGTAAATTACAGTGCTGTATTACATTTTTAGGATTTTGTCAATCAAATCCTCTTGGTTTTACTGGATGAAGAATCTGTAAGTCGACGTACATACATCTTTATTGATTCAAAAAGTTACGATACATTTTTAAAAAACAAGTACGATTGTACTCGATATTTGAAAAAAGACAAACTAAACAACAACACACTGTTCAACCACACACTTATTGAGTCCTACACAATTCATATATTGTCGTTATTGATATGTTTATTTTATAGGGAATCGTGGTTGACAGATACTAATTTAGTTAAGCAATTTAGTACTGACTGCTAATCTGATTTGTGACAATCTTTTTAAAATTTCTTACACTAAATAATTTCACCGTTTCTTTAATTGTGTTTTTGGTCCGCAATATCTGATATTAATCTGATTTTAAGTCTGAATGATTTTTGGTGTAATTCCTTTACGTTTCCAAATATGATTTTTTGCATGTGCATTATTTGGGTCACTCTAAACCATCAACTTTTCCGTCGATATGATGTCATTCAATGGGGGCATTTTAAGCATTTCTTTTTGTTCCAGATGGAAGAACCGTTAGAACCATGTTCAGATGACGTTGAGGCGTTGGCAGAATTTGCAAAGCCGCGAGGAAAAGCTCCATTTCATGTATGTATGTTGGCGGCAATGAAATCTCGGCTTGTTTGCGTGTTTGTCTTTTGAAACCGTAATAATCTAGAAATCTGGAGTTTAAAAATCTTTCTTGTTTTTTTTTTCTCCGCAGGCTCTACGTTCAACAATGCCTCAAATAATAAACACACCGTCTGTTTTATTTCGTTTTATACAATTCATGAAAACACAAGCATCGTTGAATATTTTACAATTTTGTCTTACATTAGGTAGGTAAAATGAACGAGTTATTTTACTTGCTATACTCGACGTTTTATATAATACTTTATTCTGATCGTTTAATTGGCTGTTTATGGTCACGTCATAGTGTTATTCTTTAAATCGATTTCAAAATACGAAATTTCGGCACATTCCTTGCCAAGATGGAGGAAATTGAAGCCGTTATTGGATGTCAGTTCCAATCCCATTCTATTGTTTTTGTCCGCGCGGTTAACACGAAGCTGGCTTCACTTTTTATGGACTCGAGGTCTCGCTCCAGATACGTATATGGAGCTCACTGGCGCGAGTCTACGAAAATGGCGGGAAAAATGTCTGCCAACATAATAGGGGTAAAATGATAGGGTGAGATACGGAAAAAGAAAAGCATTTACTATAGAAAAACGGCTGATATAAGCTCGGGAATTTCACCGGTCGTATCTTTCTCGTGACAGGAAGTTATACTGAGTTTACATTGTCGTGATTGTCTTTACTATTTCTAGTCTTTCAAATACAAGCAGTTGATACGCGGACGTTTGACCCCGCGGTATTTCTAAAACATCCCCTATGTATTATTCCATTATCATGTATGTTGTGTTTTTACAGAGGATTTTAACAAACGTAGCCTAGTTCCAGATTTAACCGACCATGACGAAAAAGAATTATTGAAAGAGGTTTGTTTACCTATTTTAGTTTAGTTTAGTTTTTCACTCATTGATGAGCGGATTTCCCAACGCCATATTGCCCAATAGACCTAAGTATGCATAATGATGTCACAAGGCTTGATGCCCACGAGGAATACTGGTCTTAGTAGTCATCGCCTGGGAAAATTAAACAATTCAAAATGGCCACTATCGAAATTTTTCCGGGCGATGACTACTAAGACCAGCATTCCACGCGGGCATCAAGCCTTGTGACGTCATTATGCATAAGTGGCATAAGGTTTATTGCTAGAGGATCCGAGAAGACGCGAAAGTCTAACCATGTACTGATGTCAATAGGCAATGTATCGGAAGTTTGAAGTGAACGTGCTGCGTGTGCCCATTAAGCATCGATCCCATGCGAATCCCCATGCATATTCTACTAAAATTTGTTGTTAAAGATAGCACCGACCAGTGCCACTGTTTTCAAAATAGAGCATCCAAACTGTTTGCACTTTGACCTTTTCGTTTCCGGTATTCATGGCGTGCTAATATCACATTTCAAATCTACTCCAAAACGTGATAAAGTTCCAGAACATTAGCAGGCAGTGGTATATAGTAATTGTAGTACTGTAGTACTGTTTATCTGGGAATGCTAAAAAATTTGCTGTTGTTTAGGCGAAAACGATATACAACAAATATTTCGTCAAAGACGCTCCAGATTTTATACCATTTGAAACGAGTATTGTGGATAGCCTGAGGAAAGGTGTGTGTTGTACAATCTTTGATCTTCCTCAATGCATGGATGTTGTCAGAGGTGTAGAACTGAAAGGATAACAAGGGGGTTCTTTATATAAGATGGGGTGTTAGAAGACGTGAGGGTGACAGGCGTGGAGGGGGGGCAATATGATAAACATGGAAAGTTACAGTATTTATTTTTGGTTCTAGTAATTCTTCAATTAGTGTGTTTTGAAGTAAAAGATTCCGATGACCGATATACAGTACCAAAGCTATTTCATGTTGGAACCACATACATGACCTAATAGTATGATCATAGTAATCAAGTACAGATCACTAACATTGCCGCAAAAAAACCCAATTTTTTATTTGTTCATATGAGATGGTAAACGTACCATTTTAAGATTGACTGACACAGGCTTAGTATAACTGATATTTTGTTGCAGTTGTGCAGTCCTCGTCCGACCAGTTGACAAGGATTGAAATGGCGACCCCGCTCTACAGGTAATATACAGTACAGATAGTAAAATTATCAACATGGTCTCTTCATTTTTATGATGCATGTCCTCATACGGTCATACTTAAATTTATGATGTAAATCATCATATATAGGTGTTAATTTTAAAGTTGCATATAATTAAGTGTGCACCACAAGCCTAAGACAACACTTAGCAGGGAAGCTTAGAAGGGAGGTTTTCGTCCCCCCGTCAGGGTGAGGGGTCAGATGGGTTAGGTGCCTCCAGTTAGGAGGGGTCGGAGTGGGGGGTGGGGTGAGGGTCAGGTTATCAAAGTGTCTGTATGATGATATACGTCATACATAAAAGTGCACCCGTATGATGATATACATCGTAGATTCAAGGATGACCGTGTGATGATATACATCGTACAAATGAAGAGGATGTACTAAGAAATTATATCATTCAGCCATGGATGATGTTAGTGGGTTCGTGGTGGCACAATATATTAAGCGCATTAGGAAAATTCTATGGTACTCGTGTTACATTTTGAACTCGCTCGACATGGCGAAGTTCTGTTTATATTTTTCTGGTAGTCGTATCTCCCCACTTGCATCGACCGTTTTAGAACTAATAGAGCCATTGAGCCATCCAATATTGCCCAGAATCTTCAGTTGTTATTTCACTAAAGGTTATGAATTGTTTTATGTTGTTCTACACTAGGGCATACGAACATGTGTTTGATCAGTTGGAACACACCTATCTACCATTATTTCACCAAAGTGACGAGGTATGCTTATTCAATTGAAATAGAATGAGATGGTAACATGATTGTGAAATTGTCAAGGAAGCTTTCTGACTGGCCCTTTGTCTTTCAGGTAGTTCAGTTACCGACCACGGGCGGCAGCTTATATTACCTGTACTAATGTTGGTTGTATATATTTTTAGTATTTTAATATGATTTGTGGGAACAGAGATCGTGATAAACCAGCTGTGAAACCAACACAAAGGTATAAAGATAAACAAGAATTTAAAACTTTTTGATATGACTTTATTGAACGGCGTTGCAAATAAGATTAGATTTGACTACCGCTGCCGCCCTTCATTACTGATTAAGTACGCAGCCATGTGATTGGTTAATCGGGTAGATTGAACGTATCTGATTGGTTAATTGTCCCTTAATGAACCTCACTAATAATCCAGCCGGAATCGGAACTCAGTTTTGGCTACTTATGGTTATATGGGTTATATGGTCGGATGTGAAACAGGTATACACTTAAAAGAATGAAGGGCATGCCTTCAAAATTTGGAATATATAGTATCTCTGGTTGTATGTGGATATACTTAAAATGTAATGTAATCTGTTTGCCGATGGGGTCATCCATTCATTTAAACAGTAGGCGTACGCGAAAACTGTAAGAATTCCCTTCCCCTAAATGGATGACTTCTATCTTCATTATTTATTCACCAGAGCTCTGAAAAAGAAACTTGAACCAATTGGCAAGAAGTTAGTGAACAGTTTGAAAGATATCTTACCATTGTCCAAAGGTAGGATATGCTCCTGTTTAGGTCTAAATGTATAAAATTTAAGGCTCGTTTACATTTTAGTTGCGATTTTCTTCTTCTGATGGATGTGAACGAGTGAATAAGTTAGGAATGTTCAGATGAGGGTACATATACTCAGAACATTCATTACTCATCTACTCTTTCACATACAGCAGAGGTGAAGGCTATTTCAGATACGGTAGAGCACCTAGTCCCCAGGCCTTTACCAGCGCGGCCGCGAAATTCAATATGGCGCCAAGCTAAGGAGTGAAGTT